GGGGGGGGGGTGAGGGGGACAATTGCCAGGAAAAGGGCAGGAGGGAATTTTCTGGAGATGTCAGAAACTTCTACACTGTGACAGGGATAGAGGTTACATAGATGTGTTTATTTGTCAGAATCGTACAGTTAAGATTTGAGCATTTCAGGGTGGCTGGCTGGCTCAGTCAGAACAGCATGTGACTCTGGATTCAAGTTCAAGCCTCACATTGGGTGGAGAGATTACTGAAGTACATAAACTTTTCAAAAAATTTTGAGCATTTCAATGCACCCAAATTTAATCTTAAAAAAAGAAAAGAAAAGAAAAAAAAAAAAAAACAGGGCTCAACAAGAAAAAGACTGGGTCATAGAATGAGATACATAACCCAATCACATTTAAATAAAGTTTAAGTGCATGCATTAAAAAAAAAAAAAAAAATCTCTACTGGGGCATCTGGGTGGCTCAGTGGGTTAAGCATTGACTTCAGCTCAGGTCGTGATCTCGCGGTTCACGGGTTCGAGCCCTGCGTCGGGCTCTCTGCTGACCGCTCAGAGCCTGGAGCCTGCTTCAGATTCTGCGTCTCCCTCTCTCTTTGTCCCTCACCTGCTCACACTCTGTCTGTCTCTCTCTCAAAAATAAACATTAAAAAAATCTCTACTTTGCCAGGAAACACACTAACCAAACATGGTGGATAAGCATAGAGATAAAAGGAAAAAAATAAGTAAATGAAAGGCACAAAGGCTTTGAATGAACCAAGGATTTTTACTAATCAGCCCTCTGCATATGAAATCCAAAAAAGAAAAAAAAAGACAATAAAATGTTGTTGCCTTATTTTTTGAAAACCTCTTTAGAGTTAAGCAGTACCGCTTTAAGTCTTAATTAATTAATGAGTCATTAATTAATTAATGAGAAGAGAACAGAGGCAGTCTTAAGAAGTCACAGGAATATTGAAATAACAGCTAATGCTTCCGGAGTCCTGTGCAACAGGCACCACTCTAAACCTCTTTTTCCTTTTTTTTTTTTTTAAGTTTATTTATTTTGAGAGAGAGAACATGCACGCAAGAGCACTCGTGCGAGTTGGCGAGGGACAGAAAGAGAGGGAGGGAAAAGAGAGAATCCCAAGCAGGGACCGTGCGGTCAGCTCAGAGCCCGACGTGGGGCTGGATCCTATGAACCACGAGATCATGACCCGAGCCCAAATCAAGAGCCGGACACTTAACTGACTGAGCCACCCAGGTGCCCCTAAACATTTTCGTCAATCCTTTCATTTAACACTCAAAGTAATCCTCTGTAGTTATTATTATTAAATGACCATTTTTCTCAATGAGTAATCTAAGGCTTAGGGAGATAAGAGTGAC